CCGTAAATCTACATTTTCTCATTAGTGTGTATTTTCAAGTTTTAATTGGAAACATATCATTATACCACTATCTCTTTCAGTGTCATTATCTGTAACATCCGACGCGATCTGTGTAGGATTTACGAGTGTAGTGTTTACATAAAATTATATACGGTTCACGAGAAGTTTGAAAATTTGTTCAATTTTGTTCACGAAGGCCTTGCAATTCTAGTTATCGTATTTGCATTTAGTAACGAGTACACAGTATTTTATTCGTGGCTTACCGCCATTACGTGTAACATGCGTACGATTCTCCGCAGAGTTTACGACCACACTTAAGAGTATCTCGCTCTTAGCGATTTCTATAGAATTCGTATGCACCGCCAAGCGCGCCCGGGCTCAAATCGAGATAATCGTTGGGTCGCGGAAACTTTGTCTATTGTACGGGCGAACTTCATACGGATACGGAGTGGGCCAGGAAACAGTGCTCTGATAATTCTGATAAGGTCGGTGCATGCCCGCGTATTTGCATCGCACCTCCGCGCACCAATACATCTGCACACGAACACCGCGACTGCTAAAGGACAAATAGGAACATGCGTGATAGGACAAGTTACCAAGTTAAATGGTTCGTGAACGCGCTAGTTGGAATTAGTTGTTCTACAGTTGCTAAATATAATGCCGGCGACACAGGTATAGATATTTTAGAAAGGACTTTTTTCTTTCTCTCTTTCTCTTTCTCTCTTTCATTTACATACACATACAAGCCTTTTGCAATATTTAAAATTGTTCATACAATTGGCGACACCGTTAAGCTATTATACGGTAGATTAAATATAGGAAAAGAAGACGAGGATATCTTAAGTATAATGTTCCGTTTGTTCACCTTGAATACAAGAATGTATATATAATTTTGATAATTATACTTTCAAACAACAAAGATCCATAATTATTAAGACGCCTTCATTATAATAATCACTTCTTGAAGGCTACAGGTGCTTCCGTGGTGTGAAATTATAGCGTCCAAGGTTAAAGTACGACAATGTAACTAATCTTACTAAGTTTCCTGTTGCGGAAGAAGTCTTATGTACTGTCGAGTGGAGCCACAAGATTCGTCTAAGCGGGACACCATCATCGCGACCCAGTTGAAGGGATCACTCGGTTACATTATGATAGACACTTGAAACTTTGAGAGTAAAAAATCATTTTGTCAGAGATATTTGAGTCTACCTCCGCGCATTCTGCCTGGCAAGTGTTACTGTTGATGATCTCTAAGTTATGAAATGGTTTTCACAAACTTTTCGACCAAGAAGAACGTGAAGAACGCATAGAGCATAAACTAAGCAAAGGAAGAGCGGATTTTCTAGATCAGGATTTGAATAAACTTGTCTCGTATCATCGATATTCTTCCAAATCGAGTTTTTCATTGACAAAAGTTGGAGTGTAAAATACAGTTTGTGACAGATTGTCACGTTTATAATGCTTGTACGCAAGAAAATCGATATTTGATCATTAATTTATTAGCAAGAAAATAAAATATTTAATCCACAATTAAGAAACAAATTATTCGATTACACTTAATAACATTTCTACGATGACAAGCATTCTAAGCAAACGAAAATCGCGATTGTAATAATTTCTTTAGCATAAGTAAAATTATGTGAAACTATCTCGAATAAAAACGTGGATTTTTAAAATAATGTTACATTATTATCAGCTATATTTGTTGTCGCTTAGCTGTTGGACAACGTGTGTCGTACTATCGGCTATACATATGTATAACGAAATTAGATAGTGGAAGTATCATCTGCATGAACGTAGCATCTGTCCGTGCAGTATGCAAACTTTGCCGGCATCATTAGCCTGACCCAGGCTGGCTGCAGCGAGTAGATATATTTAGTATAATAATAGACGCTAAACTTGTTCACATGCACACACCCACACACACACACAGTCGCGAGCCAATGCATAGAGTCGATAATACTGCGACCATCTGCCGCCTACGCCTTGATCGAGCATCCCTTTCGCATACTTGACACAACTTTGGTATGTTCATTGTATGCCGTATACAGGATTGCGTATTGATTCGTAACTTTCACGATATATCGGAATGAATAAAATGATAGACGCTCTAGACAATCCGAATTGCAATGCTTTATGTAAATTGTACACTGCGCGAAATATGCATCGGATTAAGGGATTAATACAAAACTTTCAAAAGGACTTTGAATTTGAAAAAAATAGCAATTTATAGATATTTAGTTTCAATTCATATATTGAATTGCAACATCCAGAAAACTAATTAAAATTTAACGAGTTATATCTTATAAAATTTAGCGAGTTATATCTACCCCGTTAATTGGTAGTTTCAGGGAAATTTATGTATGCTAAAAAGAAATTTACGCCGACAGCGTGCCGCTGTTATATGCTTTATTTAGTGCACCGTACGTATGGCTTGAAGTTCTGGATTAATTTACACACACACACACACACACACACACATATGCATAAAGTTATGCAGGCAGTTTTATACATATGTATGTATTTATAAAATATATATATATAGATATATATATTGCGTTATATATCAAATTGAAGTTCAATCAGTTGTAGACATACATTTTTTAATCATATATTATACATATGCATATACATATAACGTGTTAGTTACAATTTACAATTAGAGGCACGGAACCTCTCACTCTCACGGAATTAAAAAAGGGTACACGCGTATTTTTATGACCGTCAGCAAATGTTGGCAAGTGTTAGCGCGGTCGCGACGGTACGCGGAATTAATAATGACGAAAGAGCGAAGGGACATTCTTGACCAAGGCACGGGCGCATATATCACGATGCCCCATTATGCTTATGAATATAAATGCACCCTCGGGGTGGCCACAATAAATGCCGGCCGTTGCGTCGCCGGATCTCTGAATTCTGCTCTAGTGCACGTACACGTGGTAGCCACGGAACAACGAAAATAAAAACGACACCAGAGTCTCTACCTCCTCCTCCTCCCTTTTGTCTTCGTTCTTTTTTTACCCCAAGTCCTGGACGAACTCCGGGCGTGAGGGCGAGCATAAAAGAATAATTAAAATAAAGTAGGCTGCGCGCCACTCGAAATTATACACGGGTGCAGTAATGATAACAACAAAACGAGTAATAAGAACCTCTGCCTTTAGGTGTGCGCAATTTGTAGGCCTAATGAGGTTTCCGAAGTCACTTTTTTCTTTTAATCGAAGAAACTATATTTATATATTCGGCCGTTGCCTATGTGAATTATTTTTATCGATCTTGTTTTTCTGACAAATATTAAAATATAGAAAAATTCAAATACTTTCCTTTTTGATCATTTTAAAAATATAGAACACTTGAATGTATTTTTTTTTACTATTTAATATTAAATATTGATAATTTTTATTTCGTTATTTATTTTCAAAAACTTTTAAAAATATGTAAATAGAAAATAAAGCAAATAATAATGCTAAAGTAAATAAAAATGTTTAAATAGTATTTTTCAACTGGGAAAAAAGAATGTAAGGTGAAAAGTTAACCGTGTTTATCGGATTACATAGCTTGTTAGCGCACGGCAGCAATGTTATTCACATTAAGCATCGAAAATACCACCGTTTCTCTCAGTCATTTAGACGAACGGCGCAAAAATCTCCGACCACAAGTCTTGTCAGTTTCTTCTTTAGCGATTAACTTGTAGGGGTTGCAACTCCTGCAGCTCCTCCTCGGTTTCTTTTTCCTCGCCGGTACTCTTTTATCCGCCGCCTACCTTCCCTTTGGATCGCTTCCAACCGTTTGAATCTTCCCTCACCTTCGCAATCGGTGCAGCCGATATCCTATCTCCGTCACTCTCCCTTTTTCCTTCCACCCATTTCGTTCTTCTATACGCTTTTATCGCGTTTGTCCATCATCGCCATTTATCTTCGATATATTGCGGTTTAACGCCGTGACGTTAAAGCTCCAAATTATCATATTATCGAATATCATACTTAACCATAAAATACAGTAATTACGATAATTGCATGTACACATATATGATTAATATAATATATTGCAATCTCAGTTTATGTAGTTTTTCTTTTTTTTTTTTTTTTTTTTTTTTTTTTTTTTTTTTGCAACATAGCATCTGTTATTTTTTTATATCTGTGTATTTTTGTGTGCATTTTCGTTTGAATTTTTAATAAAACTTCAATATTGGTTTAACGCTGAACGCGAACAAAAAAAATTATTTTTGTGCAACACACATTGACCATACCATTAAATAATGTCAATTTTCACATGGGAAAATATTTTTTAAAATAATAATGTATCTATATTGAAATTTTATAAATAATAACATTCCATTTGCAAGGGATTGTGGCGAAACTAATAGAATAAGCATACTGATAGATATGAACGTAAATTGACGAAGACATAGTTTTCTCTGTTCATTGTTAGTGTCCTTACTCAATCGTTTATCTCGCGTTATTAAAAGCGACTTTGTTAGCGTGGTAATCAAATTTAGATCTGTGTGGCTTGCCGCTGTTTTTATTAGTAATCCTTTTTGTCTCCATCGTGCTAATAAAAACGGATCTATCCAGCAGGCGTTCAGTATGTACCGCAAGCTGACACTTTTGCGGTATTATTGTGCTTTGTGGAAGACCACGCATAATGGTCAACGAGATTACCTATCACATGACGTTCGCTCGATCTTTATAAAACGCATACTATCCATATTTGTTGATGTTAAATAATAACAACATATAAATAACAATAACGCGTAAATATATCGTATAACGTAACATTTTTTTTATAAAATAAATATCAGACAGAATTTTATCATAGCACGTAAATTCTTTAAAGATATCTAAAATAAATGCGATGATAAATAAAGAGATGATAAATAAATTTTTCAAACTTACAAAGCCTTCAAATATTTCTGAATATATTTGAAAGATTATTTGATGATAACTGCAACTCTTTTCTTTCTTATTTCAATAATAACGATCGTTGTTTTTTTTATGTTACAGTCTGCAACCAGTTTAGCAGAGGCGTGTTTTCCATGTTGGGTGCCGTGAGTCCAGACTCATTCGATACACTACACTCTTATAGCAACACCTTCCAGATGCCATTCGTGACACCCTGGTTCCCCGAAAAGGTAAACAAGTCATATCTTTTCCTTTTAGATTTGTTACGGTATAGCTCGCGCGCATCTTTATTATCCTTATATTTTCTATTTTGCATTTCTTACATATTCTTTCTTGGTATTACATGAGAATAATATTATATATATCTAATTTATGTACATCTTATTAAATACACGTCTACAATTCACGTCACTGCTTCGGGTTTTTCCATGAAATTGTGTAATGTCACCGATACGAAGGATTCGACCGTTTTTACATTATTTGTCTCGTTCGGAACAATCACACAATTAGTCACCGATGTTTTTTACGTACATCAGAGCAATGCGGATCGAAGTATTAAAGTTCAATCTATTCATAGAACCTGTTTCTCTGTATTAAATTAATATATATTTTTCCTTCGATGTGCAAACTGGAGCAAAACGTACATTTAAAACATTCCCGTAATTTTTGAAATATGACACTACAATTTATCGATTCGATATAAAAAGAGAAAAATATACGCTTACGACGTGCGTGTGAGACAATAATTGTCGTTCACGAAACCAATAGTTACGTTTTGCGTTGCAGCTGATAATTAGCGGCGGCGTGAGATGCATGATGATGAATTCGATCGATATTATCATCCGTATATACATATATGTATTTGTGATATATACATTATATATATTACAATTTGAATTGCAAAATGAATTGTCTAGCCGAAAATTTATTCGCCAGCTCGAATTACCCGGGCTGCATTTATCGCGTCGCTGTAAACTGATATCGTGCTGCAGGTTCTATAGGATGAACGTCGGGCTCGTGAGTATTTCGGGGTTGTGTGCGTATTTTTCCCACGATATATTTCCGTACAGTATAAGTATATATATATATATATATATATATATGTGTGTGTGTGTGTGTGTGAGCGCGCGTAACGAACGTCGATGTCGTTTAAATGGTAATCGCGCGGTAATGCTGATTCGACGCCTCAGCTTTCTGCTTCTTTTTTTGGGGCCAATTACGGTTCGCCAGGAATGGCCATTTATATAGAGAAAATCCTTTTTCAATTTCCATGAGATCCTTCCCCGCACTGCGTTTGCATCGCTGCCTCTCTCTTTCAAGAAAAAGAGAGACGTTATCGATACCATTGGAAATTCAATACGTGCGGGTGGTATGATTATTCCAGCTGGGTGATGATTAATTTTTGAAACTCGAGACAGTATTCATTTCATCTCCATGTAAAGATCAATAAAGATAACGTCTCTTTAAACGATATATTTATATTTAACTGGATATTTATAAATAAAACTGTTATATATATTATATATATATAGAAATTAATAGCTTTTTTCTAAAAATGTCTCTCGCGCAATATAGTTTAAAAACGCCGCAATATTTTGCGAGCAAAAAAACCCGAATAGAGATCCCGACAACTGAAATTAGTATCAAAAGGCATACCTATATTTCGACGGTAAATCATGATGCGCATGTACCAGTTGCACATTCGCGAGGAATTAAATTTCAAAGAGAATTTATGAGCGGTAAAAGATTGTACGCGTGTGTGTGTGTGTGTGTGTGTGTATGTGTGCGTGTGCATCAATTCAGATTAAAGATGTAGCTGCTTTTTCCTCCTAAGCAGAATTAATTTCGGTAGCGCGTTAAGCGGAGGATATACGATTACCTATTGAAAATTTCACAAGGCGAACGAGAGAGTCGTAAATGCACGGGATTATTGTATGTAGGTCCTGACGCCATCCTCGGGTCTCCTGGACTTCGCCATAAGTATGCGGCCGGATTACCATCGCGCTATCATCGATACGGTGCGATACTACGGTTGGAAGAAAATCATCTACCTCTACGACTCCCACGATGGTAAGTCCCTTTACCCTGCGGCTTTCTCATGCATTTCTCATTTTACAAGGCGATAGCCGCGGGCTGCACCCGCTCGCACCTTTCTATAGACCCTCCTATCTCTCTCTCTCTATCTCGTGCGATATTTCTCTTTTTATTATATCCGCCAAGTAGGCTCAGTCTCCCGTGGCCAACTTTGCCGATATCGTAGACACGGGATATCGAGTAGATTCCCCGACTTCTGTGCGGAATAAAAATGCGCGTACGCGTGTCTGACACCGTATCTTTATATATCTATGTAAACGAAATGGCGTTTATATACATTTATTTGTATATATAAAGGCATTTATACCCGGATATCAAAAATGTGATGCATTCGTAAATAATTATGCATTTTTAAAAAATGGACATTTATATACCCAAGGAAAATTTTTGCAAGATAATATACGATGCCTTTTTTTTTTATTAAAATCGTATATAAACAAAGTAATGGGTTATTATATAAGATATAATTACAGCCAGAAATAAAATTCTCATAGGAGATTGTCGCTTGAAAATAAATTGCGTCACGGAAATGTTACTTCTAATTAAGTACTTGTATTTCGTATTTTGTCAGCTCTCTCTTTTCCCTTCGCGTTGTTATAATCACATGCATGTGGGATTTTCAGCTGATTCAGTGAAATCACGTGCATGTATGCATGTTTCACACGACTATGCCATTTACAATATTAAACGCGAAATTAAAAGGTGAGAATGAATTTCTGCGCATCACTTTACATAATTGCATTTACTGATTCTGTGTTCAATTTTTTACATTAAAAAATCAGTAACTTTATATGCATTATTACCGACACCAGGAAACTCGCATTTCAAAGGCAAGCAAATGTATAACATCCGTTGGAAATTGCAAATAGCTTCGGGGGCAAGACCTTTACTTTTCGATTAAGCTCTTCAATTGTGTTCTAGTTGCACAATTATCTGCATGTTTGTCTGACATGCAACGCGTATTAATCCAGTATAATTTAATGCTGTAATTACTTTGATATGTTGAATCAAGTTTTGTTTCAATCGCTAGGAAAAGCATTTTAAAAATACGACCGATCAAATGACACGTCTTAAAATAGAATGCTCTATTACGTCTCTGACTTTTCGGAACTTTGTGAAAATTGTCGACAGCACTGTGAAAAATTGTTCTTCCGAAATCGAGTTTTGCTCTCGTAAGACGAAAACCGGTGGAATGGTAACAAGATTGTAACAAGACTCTCGCTTTCTCTCTTCTACAATCTGTTTTATACGAAATCTCTTGTCAATCTTGATATTAGAGGTGAAGCGACAGCGGTTTAATTACTTAATTAATGGAACACGGGGGTAACTTCGACTGAACGAAACGATTAATCACTAGACAGATCGCTAGACAGTTTTGTATCTCTCGTCGATTTCCGGCCGTTATAACTTGGTCACGTGCCTCGGGCACGAGAAAGCCATTTGGAATTCCTCAAGCCGACCAATTGCTCTTCTTCGACAAACTTCGATAAGAACGAGCTGGAGGTAGTCTAGTATCGCAGAAACGGAGATAGTTTAATTACCGAATGCAAATGCAAATATACTTTAGGGACTATCATGCTGTCTCCGCGCGCCGAACGACCTCTTTCCTATCTTCCTCTCGTCTCATCTCGTCCTCGTCTCTTCCCATTGCCTGGCTCTATCTGACGTAGTTTAACCATGCCGTTTCTCGATTAAAGCTGGTATAAGGAAAGGAGCAAGACGATGAGCATTCGAAGATCATTTAGATTTTATGGCGTATTTTTTGTTACTCGTCTATTTTCAGTATTTCTCAGTTTGATGTAATGAATTTTTTGTCGCTTATTTGTTTTCAATCTTTCTCAGTTTGATATGATAAAATCATGAATAACCAGCGCGAAGAATCAATACATGAATTAATGATGAAACTATTCGTGCAATAAAAATTCACATTAATATAATTAGATATATGTATTAATTTAAAAAATTTTGTACAGAATTTAATTTTTTGACCGCATGCACCGTATTTTGTTTAAAAACGAAGAGAGAAATAAAAGTTTTTAAATAATATTTCTTGATCCTCATATAATATTTCTTGATCCTGTATATACACATATGATGAATATAATCTGTTTTCTAATTAACGTATAATATAATCAATATATATGATTTCCTAATTGATAAAATTAATTATTAATTAATTAATATATATTGTTTATTAATTGTTCCTATTAATTATTGCATTTGCATAGAATTAATATGTAATTTTATAAGTTTAAATTTCAGTGCTTTAAATTTAAATAGATAAATCGTTCTATTTATTTTTAATAATAATGTTAATAATGTTACAATTAACGAAAAATTTTATCTGCTTGTATTCATGTTATCGAAAATTCAATTTATAGCAATTAAAATTTGCAATTTTCAGTTAATTAATAATTACATATTCATATTTAAAAAGAAAACCTCAGTTTGCAGATTCGTAGAAGATATTTTCTGAAATATTCATTAGTTTTCTGTTATCGTAGAGGGAAGTTATTAACATAAAGAATATATTCATGGACTACGCAAGAGATTTATATCACGCGTTTAAATAAACGATGTGCAATCGTGTCGTAACATAAACCCTAACTGTTTTTAAAGCTAGTCAGATGTCGATTTTGACGGTATAGAGCTTATTTAAATATGATACAAAGTTGCTACGTTTTTTTATATTTAATATAAAGATTTTTTTACATCTAATATAAAGATACATTATATAATAGGCATGATACAACGAAATTAATATGCAGATGCATCATAGACTATACGGTCATAAAAAGTGATCGATTCAAAATTTAAACAGGAATGCAACGTGCTTTGAAAACTTGCACATTACTATATCAGTATTCTCAACGTTATGTGAAGAATCGCATGAAAGAATGACAACGCCCTTAATTCAATCTGCTAGATGGCGTCATTTATATGGAAAAAACTGATTTCAAGGTTAAAATACGTCGTATTCGTTTTTTCCTCGATTGCATCGTTGCGGTAATAAAATGAGTCGACATCAGGATCGATCGTATCGAAGTAGAATCGATTGCGCAAATGACCGAGAGAAAGTTTTATCAGCTATGCTCTAATAGATTTTCCTGTTGGCGATGTAAATATTAAATCAGATTTCTCTCTCTCTTTCAGATTCTATCGCGCGCTTTTAGAGAATTAGCTTGAGATATTGGTTGTTAGCATTTGAAGAGCGATAAACTCCGTTGACATTTAAAACAGTTTTCACGAATATCTTAAAATTTTGTAAACAAGTGATACATGATTAATCACATATGTGTATCATTAGAACACAATTTCAATGTTAGCTACGTCAAACGTAAAATTAACTCGTCACAATGTTCTTGAAGAATAAACTTTTCCGTAAGGAAATCGACTCTTTCCGAGAAAGCCCGTTACATTTTTTTCCTCAAAGTTGAAATCTAGTGTAAACAATTTCTTGTCTCTAGAAGAAGTAATTTTGTAATTCTATTCGCGTAATATTTGTCCTTCCGTTCTCCTTAGATGCAACAGCGAAAATTATCGAGCTGCCGTATCACGCTATGATTAGAATAAGAATGCGCGCAATTTGCATTTCTGCACTCATCAATAAGATGTTAAATAAATATATGGGATAAATATTTATCACGTTCTCGCTTTCAATTAGCAAATGTTTGTATGCGCAAGTGAAAATATCGCACATGCGTTATTGCGTTCACCCCAAAAGTTAAACCCGGCGTAGCAGCCAATAGCAATAAATTATAGCTAGCGTTTCCTGTCATTCAACATTTAAATTATTATACCTGTAGATACCGAAGTAGTAAAAAAGAATTGTAAGTCATCGAACAGAGTGATTTTCCAAACAATAAGACAATTATACTATAATAGAGCAATGTAGAGGACGAACACGTGAGAAAAAGAACTGAAAAAGTCTGATGCGCGCACGTGCTTGAGAAATAGCACGGTAAAGTAATAATTAGTAGTTTTAGATCGCGCTCGCTCTTCCGTCCGAGTCGGGAGGGGATTCGATTAAAATCACAGTGACGTGCCTACGTATCAGAGTCAAGCTCAGTTTCCTTTCCGCGCGTCTTTCAGAATGATAGCGGCGTCGTTGTCGCCGACACGCGTCGAGATCTCGGCATCTCGTTCTCGGCTCTCGTGCTGGTGACAGGTGCTTTACCAAGAGGTGAACTGTCGATGTAATTATTTTTGCGTGTACACTTTCGCTGCATGCTTTCGTGCGTTCCTCCTCATCAATTGGACGACAACTTCGAAATTGTATCTGTCGTGAAATCGTTTTTGGAAATCGTTGTAAGAAATTTCTAAAAGTGCATAATCAACGTCACTATTATACGATCAAACATAGAAATAATTTTCATTTAAAAAATTATTCCGTCTTTCTGAAACATTTCTTTTAATCTCGAAATTTCATCTTTGAAAGACGATGTAACGATCTAATAATGTGCGCGTTATACGTGTACATGGTTACATATGTGTGCGTTAATTCGTATAAGGCTATCAGACAAAATTATCATAAGTACCAATTGTAGACAAGGAAATGAGGCTTAAGACAATCTTCTTATAAAATCTCTGATTATAGTTTGAAGAAAATTTGCATTAAAGATTCTAATACAGAAAAATAATAAGATAGCATCTATACGACATCGTAATTTATTATTTAGACACTCTTAAAAAATGTGGCTTTTGTATTATCGATCAAGTAGCATAATTGAGTAATTTTCAATTGCATTTAGCTATCTTCCATAATTAAGTAACAGCTCGCTGATAAAGGCGAATTAAATCCTCGCGTGATAATGGCATGTCATTGTTAAATCAGGTGTACCGATGTAATTGCGATAAAATATGCGTGTATGCATAATGACTTTTATATAACTGTCAATTAATCGGGTCGATGCTCGTTCGAGTTTCACGTTAGCGAATAGCTGTAACGCGTACTCGTAAAATGGTTTATTACGCACGCCATAGGTAATGAAGCATCGCGGTAAAGCAATAACTCAATTTGCAGTGAAAATTACTTCGTCCTACCAACGTAAAAGAAGAATGACAATCCAATCAATTATCTCTCATCTATAGATTAGTTCATTAATTTAGATTTTTCCTTAATAAAAATGTCGAGAAAAATTAGTCATTCTCAGTTTCCAGACTATACTTTCAATTTTCAACATTAAATGTTTTTGTTAGACTCAAATTAAAAATTTTAATTTAATTTAATTTATTAAAGAATCAAATTAAATTTGCAGTAACAGCTGTTTTATAATTACAGCAATTAAATGTTCAAATTTTAATTTTGGGAAAGTTCTCTGTCATAAATTACTTATAATTCAAGAACTATATAAGTTTCTTAATTTGTTGTTAAGGAAAACTCTCTGTCTCTCTCTCGATTTTAAATTAATTAACAGATTAGAAAAGAATTCTCATTTATTTAAACTAGCCAAAGAATAATTGAAAAAGATTAAACAGTAAAAAATAGCTTTTAATTGAAAAATAATTCTTTAATGATTCAAATATTATATTAAGCAATAGCATAATATAATATTAATAGAAATAATTATACACTTAACAAAAAAAAGTATCCACACATGAGAAAAAATAACCATTTTTCGTAATTGTTTTACTTAGAAATTGATTTTGGCTTTCAAATTGTTTCATTACGCTACAATTTTGAAAAATTTATGATGAATGAAATTCCTTTTGGACAAGTCTCAATAACATAATTTTTATTACAATAAAACTGTTTCAACACGTTACATACCGTAGTTATGACATGCTACAATTAAAATAGCTTCTTTTTCGAATTGTATTATTTATTATAAATCAAAGCTACACATAATCGAGTCTCTCAATTCGAAACGTCGCGATTAACCATTCATTGACTATGCAATTAAGATGAAATATCGTGCACCTCTAGACGTGATGACCTTGGGGTAACAACCGTGGGTCTTTCTTCTTGCATTTTGGTGATAACTGGCTGAACGAAAGGGAACGTTTTAGTATAAACCGCCGACGCAAGGACTCGGCGTGTCTTGGTCGTTTCAGCAACCTGTTTGAGCAAAACAAAGAACGTAAACTAACTGGTTTTGAGTTCGAGCCGGTTTTTCGAAGAATTTTATATAAGCTAGGAGAATCCAGTTCCCTACATTCCAAATTAAAATTATACATATATATATATATATATATACATCTCTCTCTCTCTCTCTATATATATATATATATATATATATATATATATATATATTAGTGTTGTTATTTGAAATTAAATATTATTGGTTTTAGAAAGTAGAGAAATGTATTTCAATAAGCAGATCCTTTCTATTTTCTACTTTTACGAAGGAGATAGTTATTCATTTTAAACCGGATTACATTACTCACAAACGGAAAGGAAAAAATTTAATATTATATGTAATTATCGTGGTTAACAATCCGTGCATTATTAAAGTAATAGTCTCAATTAATAGTGTGTTGCACATCGGTCATAAATTGCGTAATATTGTACATTTAAACATAATTAACGTTTTCCCTAATCATTATGAAAGAGAAAGATTTTTTTTCTATAACATTGCACAATGTTTTAAAACGAAAGGAAGTATAGCAATTTTAATCATTCTAATTTCGTGCCGGTTTTATAAGAACATAAAAAATATTGTTAAGTAAATAAGTGTAATTATAAATTCAAAGTGATTAAATATGAACAAAATAATGTGGAAGTTCGAATATTTACACAAACAAAAAGAATTATGCTTTCGAATGTACATGGTTTTATTAATTCTACTTTATAATTATCATTTGTAATTTAATTTAAAAAATTTTTATAATTTTTAAAGAGTTATCGTGACTCTTGTTTATTTAAGAATATTTTAACTATCAAATACGATAAAAAAATGTAAAATAAGAAAAATGTATAAAAGCAAAAATTATTTATATTCGTTTATGTTAATAAGTGTTCTACTAAATGATTTTATTTCTGTGAAGTAATGTAATTAGTTTTTTAAATGCATATATAGTTCTTGTGATATATAATTACGAATTAAAAAATGATCATTTACTAAAAAAGTGAGAGTGATAACTAAATAACGTTCTTTGATTTAACATTTTTCTTTCTATTAATTTTTTCACTGTGAAATTAATAACATTTACAATTAATTATTTAACACACATTTCGACGAATTAAAAATCCAAGAGGAAAAAAGAAAATCCAATTTTTATTTAACAGTCTTATCTGATAATATATTAATCGGTTCATTCACTCGAGTAGACATTTCGTTTTGGGCAGCGTGTCGTCAAAGCGCGTATGAATTTTACGGCAATAAATTCATGTTAAGGAACGCGGTCTCTGTCTCTTAATAGCGGGTGTATTGTATGGCCAGCCATAAACTGTCGCTTTGGGAGGCATCGCATCGCGTGCCACAAAGCAAGAGCAAGTGCTCTCCGACCGCGGCGGGCGGCGGTCATGCGTGCAGACGTAGCCGTTTACACGTGTGACCGTATCGCACCCTCAGTCGGGAGATATGTGGCGCGGAATCTAGTTAGAACCCTTGTTGGCTTTATCTCCGTTATCTCCGTTTGGCTCGGAGGTCGGCCGTGTTGCTAGATTAGAAGGATCAGCCGTGGCGCGCTGTTCCGTTGTCGTAATAATTAACAAAGATGGAATTTCGCATTTTCAATTTCCCGCGTCTTTGCAAGGCTTTGACATTTAAATCGGAGGACGCAAATTGGACAAAATCAACTTTGCTCGCGCATTAATCATAAATAATGGAGCCGATGATGTTTCCATGCAATGTCTTTTAACAAATCTCACATTAGATAAAAAGCATCATAATCTATGAATTATCATCCTGCGGATCATTCTTTAATAAAATAAATTTATGTTAATATAATTAATACATTTTTTTATAATCAATAAGAAGCTATTGAGAGCGTACAAAGAAACAAGCGACAAATATTCATTTACAGTTATGAGATATAATTGAATCTCCTCGCACATTCTTCGTGCTGCTCTCATAGTAGCAATGACTTTTTGCTCCGTTTAACCGTGAGTACGCGAAGTAACGATTTAAAAAATCCGATAAAAGCGACGATTAACGTGAAATCAAGAAGGACATTATCGAGCACAATGGACCGTGGGATATTGCGACAGACGTTGATTGGATTCGTATGTAAGTATCCAGAGATGGCATTACTTCGACGTACATTCCAAGTATTCTCTCGCGAATATACCCTCGAAAAAAAATCTGACGTATGGTCGCTTCTCAGGCAGTATTTTGATTATCGATTGCGGCCTCCACGAAGGATGGAGCACGCCGTCCATTCCGAAATTCAATGACGTGGATCCTCTAGAGGTGACGAGCGACGAGATCGCTTGGATTGTGAATCTCATGTACGTGGGGGTCGGTATCGGCTCGTTGGTACCCTTCATTCTGATGGACAACATCGGACGTAAGGGTACCTTGCTGGTCACCACGATACCAAAGATCAGCTCCTGGATCTTCATCGGACTGTCCAATTCCGTACCTTTTCTATACGTCGGACGAGTACTCGCGGGCATAGGATGCGGTATAACTTATGCCGTGATGCCGATGTACCTCGGCGAGATCAGCAGCAAGCGGACCAGAGGTCCTTTAGGTACGGCGATGTCAGCTGTTTCGAACTTGTCAACGTGCAATGCTCGATACAATTGTTATTAACATATTTATCGTTCTACATACAGAATTGATAGATATTTATTTGTTAATGTTAAATGTATCGGTTTTCAATAACGCATCTCTCTAATTTGAATTTTTTGAAAAGATGTACACATCTATAGCTTGTTCAATACTCCAGAAGTCATAGAATTTCTTTGTGCTAAAATGACGTTATCCATAAAAGTAACTATTCTTAAATGACATGACTAAAAAAGACTATTTATTTGTTAATGTTAAATGTATCGATTTTAATAGCGCATCTCTCTAATTTGAATTTTTTGAGAAGATGTACACATGTATAACTTGTTCAATACTCCAGAATTTATAGAATTTCTTTGTGCTAAAATAACGTTATCCATAAAAGTAGCTATTCTTAAATGACATGACTAAATAAGACTATTTATTTGTTAATGTATCGGTTTTATAATAGCGCATTTCTCTAATTTGAATTTCTTGAAAAGGTGTACACATATATGGCTTGTTCAATACTCCAGGTGTACACACATATGGCTTGTTCAATACTTCAGAAGTCATAGAATTTCTTTGTGCTGAAATAACGTTATCCATAAAAGTGGAGCTATTCTTAAATGACATGACTAAAAAAGACTATTTATTTGTTAATGTTAAATATATCGGTTTTAATAGCGCATTTTTCTAATTTGAATTTCTTGAAAAGATGTACACATACTATATAATATGACTTGTTCAATACTCCAGAAATCATAGAATTTTTTGTACTGAAATAACGTTATCCATAAAAGTAGGTATTCTTAAATGTCATCACTAAATAAAGACGAGACCTCCAGGTACTTTAATGGCTGTTCTAATTAACATCGGAATGCTGCTCATCTACGCCATCGGCCTGTGGATCAGCAGATTCGCGATGGCGATGATAAGCGTATGCGCGCCGGTGCTGTTTCTGCTGACCTTCATTTGGCTCCCCGAGAGCTCGGTGTTTCTCACGCGTAAGAACAGACTTGATCCCGCGGAGAAGACCCTCCAGTGGGCCTTGGGCAAGGATAACGTGGACGAGGAGCTCGAGGAAGTGAAACGTATCGTGGAGACCGAGGACAAGTGCAGCAAGATGACTGTCAAGGATATGTTCCGGGAGATCTTCACCAAGGCCCAGAACAGAAGAGCCTTTCGTATCGCTCTGATATTACTGAGCGGCCTGACATTGACTGGCGCGGCGCCGATACTCGCCTATCAGTCGTTCATCTATAACGAGGCCGGATTCGAGATCTCGAGCAACACCAGCATCATCCTGACAGGCGTCGCCATCGTCCTGTCCGGCGTCGCCTGTGTGACGGTGGTGCGTTTTACAGGAAAAAGATTGCTGCTGCTGATTGCCGCGCCAATCTGCGTGGTCTCCCTCGCCACGATAGCTATTTTCTTTGAGCTGCAGTCCAGCGGTTACAATGTCTCCCAGTTCAAGTGGGTGCCCGCGGTCTTCGTGGTGATTTACGTCCTCGGTTTTGGATTCAGCCTTAATCCGATACCGCTGGCGTATATCGGCGAGATCTTCGGCGTTGAGGTCAAAGTACCCGCCGCGGTGCTCAACGCTCTCTACTATGCCATAAGCACCACCGCCGTTGTAAAGTTTTATCAGGTACGTTGACGTCTGTATCGAAGAATCGATTTTGTTTTCGCGAACGAGAGAGAGCGCGGTAAGCGGGTTATCGGAAGGAACGATCAGTTAAGAGGTTTAGTCAAAAAGAGTTCTTTATTTTGTAATAGTATTATACAACACGGTATAATATACCATCAGTTAATAGCTTTGATGGCAGAAAGGATTCTTTACCATGTAATAGCATTAGGATATATAATGTGATATAATATATATTACGATATAAAAATATGCTAAGTATATTTTAATAAGCAATCAATACTCTTCAATGCTTATTAAAAACAGATCTGCATATAAAAGATATATTTTGAAATTATATATACGATTTTGATACTTGCTATTTAATGTTTTTCTGTTATCAATTTTGTTCAAATTTTAAAACATATATAATATAATATGTAATTATATATATACATATTTTTTTAATATTAAGATTTTCTTGATTTTTTCATTACTAAACATTATGTAATAATATATCATGTAATAGGAGAATATTTATATTGCTTTTTATAGATTATGCAAGAGTTGTATGGCACGTTTGTACCATTGTGGGTTTTCACTGCGATAACATTTCTTATATGGGTATTAATTTACCTATTTGTGCCAGAGACTGAAGGCAAAACCTTGGAAGAGATACAAATAGAATTGCGGAATAAGGACTAACGTATATGCAATATAAAGAAGTAAGCAGACGTGATATTATAAATAAATCCAAGATTATTAAATTTGTATTTAAAGCATATATATTTTATATACAAAATATGATTTGATTCTAATAATATATTTGTTTAAAATATTATAGAAAAAAAGAAGGGGCGAGGAAAAAGAAGAGCAAGGAACTTAAATAGAGAAATTGCATTCAAATACGTATTATATACGTAAATGTGAAATGCATATATGTAATTATGAGTTACAACGATGTTTTATAGTTTATAGTAATGATGATAGTTTGCGATTCGTAAATTTGTATATATATATAAAATGTATTAACAACAAATCTATTAACATTCAAGCTTGACTATAAGAAGATTGCACAAGGAAAGTAACGTTCCTATTTACAGAGATAGAGTTTAATCTGTGCATCGTTAAAGATACATTAAAAGAAATTTATTATAATTGTTTGCGTTTATATAACTTTAATCAAATAACTAGTAAATTTAACGTTATAACACATCGCATACAATATTATAATATCGTATTAAAACGTATATAACGTATTAACAGAAATTAGTAAAAGATTTTTAGTATTTTTAAAACAAGATATTTTTTATAGAAATAGTGAAATACAAAGCTCAAAATAGGCCGTAATGTTCAATATCTAAAGTTTTTAACGATGTACTTAAAATTGTATGTGCATTTAAACACTTAAATTTGGATTAGCCCTTCATAATATGGCCCTTCATTTTTCACTATAATAGTAAAATATAAATTTTACTCATTTACTTATTTACTCTATAACTTTTTTATGTTACTTTGTATTTTTTGATACACTTACACAGCATCGATAATGGCGTTAAATCGCATCTCGAGCTTGTTAAAGCGCTAGAGAGAAACGACGCAAGAGGAAATCATTACACTTGTTTGATCGTAAAGCTTTAACTCCGCAAAGAGAATCGTTTAGTAGCGGTATTGCGTATGACGAGATTCGTACGTTCGATTAGACAAGTTAAGTTCTCATTAAAAACACATTTGCAACGTGAATTTGCCGGCCTCGCTTGTTAAGCCTCTCTTAAAGTCTAATAGCGATAAACAATTCTCAATCGAGATATTTGCATGTTGTCATTGCAAATATATTTACGTATTAATAATTATCAACTCTTTATTATATAATCAATGTATCTTTTTTTATATTATTTTTATTTTTCACGTTCAAATAAATATGCAGCAAACTTAAACATGCTTGACTAGAAAAAATATTGATTGCCATTTTGAGAAATATATGATTATTATGCAAAAAGATGATTAAAAATATTCTTTCACGCGTATCTTTGCGCAAAATAAAATCAGAAAATTTTAATTCTAACGACAAAAGGCTGCTTATAAATTTTCTAGTCTATCTCTATAGAGAGAGAGAGAGAGTCATTCATATTTCACGCTCGAAAAATGCAACACTCTCTAACGCAGCTTTCTCATTGCAAATTCCCAAGTGATTCCGTCGTATGACTATATTCCGGCTACGCCAATGATGGTTCGTCAGCCTCGGAACATTGGCAGAACGTGTATGTCAGACAGCATGTCTTGCATACGTATATTGTCATTTCTCTCTACAGAACGTTCGCGCATGTATATCATTGGTATACGTATATTTACAGTTATGCGGAAATGCATTTACCTTCGTATGCGTATAACTGTTTATATGTCAATACCTTCTCGCGTAACGTATTAGTCTGAATCTCCGAACGTATATTCTAGATACATGCATACAGACTTAAGTGTATGATTAATTTAATATCATAGACAGTAATGATTAATTTCATGCTTCTGTGCATGGGGCATAAAAATACACACATCGATATCATTAATTAAGTATTAATTAAAGCTTTAAATTCCATCTTTATAACATCGAAATTATAATAAATACAGAAAGATACAGGTAAATAAATAGTAGAATTAAGAGAGATTAAATAAATGGTAGAATTAAGAGAGATTATTTTACGATATTATTATATATATTTCACGTATAATTACTCTCTTTGTAATATTTTGTAATGCACCTTACATAATTACATAATATTATATAATAAAATGATAAAAGAGTGAAATAAAAAAATTATATAATTTTTCTGTTGTTTTAATATTTCTAATGTAATGGCACCCTGGACAATTACTTAGCTAGAGTTCGTGACTTAACTACCTCTGTAAATGCATACGCGTGAAAAAAATATACGAATTAAAGTACGAGGAAGGAAAAAGAAATAAAAATCTTATGTATACTTTGCGCGTTAAATGCCTAGATATATATATATATATATATATATATATATATATGTGTGTGTGTGTGTGTGTGTGTGTGATTTCATTTACACTACTGTGTAATTATAACAAGCATGATAAGGGTGAAGTGTCACGGAGCGCGAGGCTGTAGGTGCAAGTGTATCCATTGACCCCATACATTCCGTATATATGATCTTATGAGCCATCGCAGTATGACTTGACCCTGTGTTATGCCGTTCTATATACAGATCTACTGATATATGTATATGCATACGTACCTGTACGTCCTGTCAGGGTGTACGTTCAATTCAAGCGTGTGCATTAGCGACACGCGCACGTGTATTAGTGCATCGTTCTGTATGCACATATAGGATCCGCGAATATACGTGAATTTACATATATACATGCACACATGGAAAGAGACAGAGGGTGAGAGAGAGAGAGAGAGAGAGAAGGAGCATATCGATCTTCTTCGATGGTGTGCGTTGTGTATCGCCGGTACGGCTTCTCGTACAAGCCGAGATCAAGATTGATAGGCCACGAGTCGCAACACATACGGGGCATCCACTTAGCGGTGCATTATCCGAATGAGAATGTGTACAGGCTGGATCTTACCTAATGCGACGCCCGCAATCCCGGTAATGGTGACCGCTTTGGCCGTCGTGCAGGGCGATCTTCGTCAATCGATAATCCTCGCACGCTTGTATATGTGCCTGTATATCTATATATAAATACACACACATATATATATATATATATATATATATGTGTGTACATGTAATTTAACACGCCGCGCGAGAGTTATTTCGCGCGAGCGAAATTAAAACTGTTCCTTGCAATTAGAAACAATCTTGCAAACGCAATGACGAAGTAACAACTATCAGCATTTAGCTAAAAGAAGATACTTGGAATGACGTGTGCTTATACGTAAATGGAAATTGTGCGCCTTGTCGATTCATTTTAAATAACTATTGATTCGAGATAACTATTTAACATGTATTGTTTGACACTGCAAATTAAATTCCGAATGTTATAGTATACGATTTTTAAATTTTTTATGTGAGCTTTATCATCCCGCTGCAGTTTTCATGCTGTAAAAATTTATCTTTGGAATAAAATGCGCGGTGAGACATTGAGAAAGAGAAAAAGGGAGAGTGAAATGTATAGAATACTAAAGAGAGCATATATATATTAAACAGAATGCACACTTTGATATTGTGGCAAAACGTTTTCGCTACCGGCTTCGTAAAACTAAAAAATGATATATCTCTTCTTTTAGAAATGTATTATTAATAAATTGCAGCTGCAGATACAACTTGTGTGCGCTTATAAAAAGATTACTTTGCGAATTCTAAATTCCATAAAAATATTTTCCATAAAGTTGTTTTGCATGTTATTAATATCTCTTCATAAATATATTGCATTATATTTAAAATCAATCTAAAATTCTTGTTTTATTGAAGTCGTACATTATTAATCTGTATTAGCATCATTAATATTATTATTAATCTTTGCATAAATAATATATAATATGCAATATTTAATTACAAAATGTTTGACATTATGTATTCTGGGAAGCATTTTATATAAGAGAAAAATTAATTAGATAAAATAAACGCAACACTCTTGTAAATTGCAAAAGTTTAATTGCAGTTTAGTCGCGTTGAATGATGAAAGTTGCATATTACGATACATTGTTGCTTTTTATAATATTGACGCAATTTTATATATATTTTGTTGCATAAAACAGCATTTGCTACTTTATGCCAAGGTAATTATATTTGATGAATTACGTTTCTTATGCATTACTAATATAGTGATAATATAATAGTTCAATATGTAAATGCTGAATAGTTGATGATTTCTGCAGAATTTATTTGTGTATATGTTTATTATAAATTATATTATTATTATCTTTTTTGTAAGAATACACAAAGATTCTTTTTAAAATAATTGCTGTGTGATTCAATATACATATGTATAGTTAACATAACATAAAGGGTTTTCTAAAAAGGAAACGTAAGTCGAAAACGAAATTGGCGCATCTATTTCATTGATATATAATTATAATACATTATTTGAATATTTATGAAATAATTTCTCTTTAATAATTTATTTAAATACTCTAAGTGTAATATGACTTTATTTATAATTAAATTCTGTTTTTTTTTATAATAAATTTATAATGCGTTAATGGCATAATAACATAATATGCAACTGCAATTTTTATTACAAAATGATTTTGATAATAATAATTAAAAATAATCTAAAATTATACTTAATATTTAATAACTTAATACTATTTAATATTTGATTCCAAATCAGTTTTTTTATTTTTTTAATAATAAATACAAGCGTTGTCTTCAATTATTTAATACGAGTCACATATAATTTTCAATTTCTCTATAGTGAGAATGTATAATAACTTAAGCGAGGTAATCGGACAAAAAGAAATTTAATATTAAGAAAACGTGACGTGTGATTTCACTCAAGCTTGCGCCTATATCCGCGAAATAAGTGGATCACCTTGTCTCATCCGTTTTCACGCGTTGGATGTAAGACCGTAATCGCGGTTGATATATCGCCGCGATCGCTCTTCATTATCGCCGAATGTGTCCTGCAAGCTTATACGGTATGTAGGTATGTAGGTACATTTCGCAAAACGACGTAACTTTGTCGTAATGGCGAAGTGGCTTAACTAGACAACCAGAGACCTCAGACGAACTACGCTTTTTATATGTTCGACAGA